GTGGGGCCTGAACTCTGGGCCTGGGCGCTGTCCCTCAGCTCTTCAGCTCAAGGCTAGTGCTCTACCACTTGAGCCACAGCGCCACTTCTGGCTTTTTTTTTCTGCTTATGTGATGCTGAGGAATGGAACCCAGGGCCTCATGCAAACAAGGCAAGCGCTCTACCACTGAGCCACCTTCCCAGCCCAGATTGTTATTTTTTAAATGCCAAACCTTAACAGCATGAAATAACAAAATTAGCATAATCAAGTTATGAAAATAAATACATATCATATACCTGACAAGTTTCATTACTGATAATTTAGAGATTGAACTCCAACTGCCAGCTAATTCTACTCCCAACAGTTTTATGAATTTGACAGAAGGATCCTGATGTTCATCTGGAGAAAGTAACAGGCAGAAACAGATACCAGAATATTAAAGGGCTGGCACAGTCCTTGTGGAGCCCTAGGCTCCGTCCTCATCAGTAAAGATAAAGAATATTAAAAAGAAAGTCAAGCAAGTAATGTTTATTCTAGATATGAAAAAATATGGGCCGGGAATGTGGCTTAGTGCCAAGCATGCATGAAGCCCTGGGTTTGACTTCTCAGTTCCACATAAACAGAAAAAAGCCAGAACTGGTGTTGTGGCTCAAGTGGTAGAATGCTAGCCTTGAGCAAAAAGATCAGGGACAGATTGGGGGGGAGGGGGGAGGCTGGGAAGGGATGTGAAGGGTAAACAAAAGGAGGAGGCTGCAATGCTTGGTAAGAAATGTACGCATTATCCTGCCCATGTAATTGTAACCCCTCTGTACAGTATCTTCACAAATAAAATAAAATATATATAAAAAAAAAGATCAGGGACAGTGCTCAGGCCCTGAGTTCAAGCCCCAGGACTGGTTAAAAACACTCACACAAAGGGGCTGGGAAGTTGCTCAGTGGTAGAGTGCTTGCCTCGCATGCATGAGGTCCTAGGTTCGATTCCTCAGCACCACATAAGCAGAAAAAAAGCTGGAAATGGTGCTGTGGCTCAAGTGGTAGAGTGCTAGCCTTGAGCTGAAGAGCTAAGTGACAACGCCCAGGCCCAGAGTTCAGACCCCATGACCAGACCCAAAACACACACACACATACACACACACACACACGCACGCACGCACGCGTGCGCCAGACACCAGTGGCTCATGCCTGTAATCTCTGCTACTTATGAGTCTGAGATTGGGAGGATCAGAGTTCCAAGCCAGGCTGGCAGCAAAGTTTGTAAAACTCCATCTCAACTAGACATGGTGGAGCCAGCCTGTTACCCAGGCTATGATGGGAAGCATCAAAAAAAAATCTCTGAAAATGCAAAGCTACAATAAGTAAAACTATGGTTTTGGGGAAAAAAAGTAGGCAGGTCATTGTAAACACAAGCATAAGTGCTTAATCTATACTAAAGAACTTATTTCTTCTTATTTAATAAATACATCTGGGAAAAACAGATGTATTCCAGGGATATAGCCCAAGAAAATTCTAGTTGTTCACAACAGCATTGCTTTTACAACTGTAATCAAACTGTTGGCCAAGTAGATGACTGTACCCCTCTTATTGTTTCTGCCAGACAATAGAATACATGTATGACCAATTAAAAGTTGTCTTGTAAATTACATTGCTGGTTGGGCACTGGTGGATCTCACATGTAATCCTAGTTACTCAGGAGACTGAGATCTGAGGATTGTGATTTGAGGCCAGCCCAGGAAGAACAGTCTGCTGGACTCTGTCTTAAATTAACCAGCCAGAAAATTGGACTGAGGCATGCCTTAAGTGGTAGGGCACTAGCTGTAAGCAAGCAAACTAAGTAAAAACATGAGGTCCTCAGTTCAAGACTTGGTATGGGGCTCTCCCCACAAAACCAAACCAAAACAAACCAAAAAAAAAAAAACCCACGCATTGTTAACTGAAAGCAGGGCACTTGGCGATAGGTTATTAACATTGGGTTACAGGGAAAAGGCAGCACATACATTCTTGTGTTTCTGGCAGTGCTTAGAAAGGGCCTAGAGGTTAACAGGTGCCCAATAAATATGTCGAGCAAATCTAGTGCCTTTTGCTATGAGCAAGCCTGGCTTTAATAGTTAGGAATTTTGCTCAGTACAGTTTTATCTTCATAAAGATTTTAAGGGGCTGAAGGTGTGGCTTAGGTGGTAGAGCACCAAGAACACAATGAATAAAAGCATCAAATTGAGTTTGAGTCCTGCTGGTCTGGAAGAGTCCATTCTAATCCTCACCCTCCCTGCCCCACATCCCTAGGGTCATGACACGGGCCTCCAGCATGGCAGGACTCCCATGTGTGGGGCTCAGCCTTAGAGCTGCGCATGGTATCTGCACACTGCTTTCCACTACACCTGGTGAAACTGGCCAACATGGCAACTTCCTGAGGTCGCATGGTTGATCGGCTACACAGCTGGGCCTTCATTCTGATCTGTAGGTTAGAGTAATGGTTTTGAACTCAGGGCTCTGCATGTGTAATACAAGTGCTCTACCACTTGAACCATGCCCTAGGCTTTTTTTTCAAATAGGGTCTTGGGTTTTATCCTTTTTTACCTATGTTCCTCTTGTAGCTGAGATTACAAGCATATACCACCTTGCCTGGTTTATGGGGTAGGATGAGGTCTTGCTTCAGGCAAGGGCTGGCTGGCCTTGAACCATGATCCTCCCTAACTCCAGTTCCTAAGGAACTGGGATTACAGGCAAGGGCTCCCATGCTAGCCCCAAGTCTGTGTTTTTGTCCATTATACTGTGCTGTTTTCTGGTAAAAGTGGCACAAAACCCCCCTCATACTGGGTCAGTTGAGTCAAATTTTTGAAATCTTCATTCCAGAAACCAAAACACTTACACTATTTAGGACACAGGAAGAGAACAGGTAGGAGGCAGCTCAAAGGCAGTGAGGACCAACCCCAGTCCACTGCAGGCCTGCCAGTCCCATGTGGTCTCTAATGCCTCTGGCAGGGTCCTTGGTCCTCAGGGCCCAGCCATGCATAGGCCCCCCCCCTTGCTGGCAGGAGGCAGGCTCAGGCCTGGAAACCTTTCTTCTAGAGAAACACGAGAAAAGCCTGGATGAACAGAAGGAGAAGGTGAACACATGGGTCAGCAGGCTGTACATGTTCTTCGTGAACAGGCTCTTCCATGCCTTCAAGTGCGAGGAAGTCATCAAGGAGAAGATGAAGGAAAAGCAGCAGCAAGACGCCATCCTTGCCCAGCAGAGGAAGGCGGAAGAGGAGGAGCTAGAAGCGAGGTGTGCAAGCCCAGCCTCCTCCTCTTGTGTAGCAACACCATGCACTGGGTTCCCAGACTGGTAGTGCAAGCACACGGTGCCCTCTGCATGCCTGCGTTCTCTGAGAGATCCAGGAAGCATTTAGCCTTGCTCTTACCGGAATGTTGGTAACTTCTGGTGGTGGGATCCTCTGGTGTCGCTTGGTCTTTGGTTCCTGGCTCCAGGACTTCTTAGGGCCATGGTGTATCTAGAGGAACAAATGATTTTTCTTTTTTGGGGGCAGTACCAAAATTTGAACTTAGGGCCTCCTACTGCCTTGTAAACTGAGCAAGCCCACAGCCCTGAATGTCAGCAGAGGTGGGGTAGGAGGGAAGTAGGGGAGGCATCTGAGGTCTTGAGGGACTGCATGAAATCTGTGCTAGCCCCAGGAAGACAATGATGCTGCACTGTGCAGTCCCATGGAGCCATGCTAGTCTCCCCAGGAAGGAAGACACAAGACAGGGGAGGGATGAGAGTGGGGGGAAAGCAGTCTACTGAGGATGCGGGCATGGGTGGGCTTTGCAAAGTGACAGTAACCCAGGAGCGGCCAATTTGCCATGCCTCACAGTAAAGTGTGTGAAACGTCCAAGACAAACACAGCTAACCTGTGGCTTGTGCTTCTAGGATGATCATCTTAAGGACGGAGGAGATAAAGAAAAAGGAGTCCCCAATTGAGATCCCTGAGGAGAGGGAGCCTGCAGATATGCTGCCCATACTCCCGCTGCTCACACTCGGCTCCCCCAAGGAAGACAGGGCTATGTCCCAAGTCAGCAGGATCGGCCGAAACAAAAAGAAGAAGAAGTAGAGGCAGCAGAAGCTACACAGGGACCCACGTCCACACAGCAAAGCTCCATGTCCCCAAAACCACCGTGGTCTGTCATGTCCAGCCTCCCTCTGTGCCACCATGGACACAAGCCTGCTTAACAGCACAGACACAAGTGTGCTCATGAATGTACATTAAACTCCAAGCTTAACAACTCAAAGCCAACTAGTGATGAGTAAGTTGGAAGAGGAGGGAGGTACTCACGTTTCTTCACATGCTTCTACAGACAGGCTCCCTGACCACATGGCCAGAGGGCTCCACTGCACTTTGGGGCTCTTTATTGTTTTTGGCAGTAGTTAGGTTTGAATTCAGGGCCCCTTGCTTACTAGGCAGGTGTTCTATCACAAAGCCATGCCTCCAGCCCTTTGTGCTTTATTTTCCAAATACTGTCTTGAGTTTATAGCCCAGGCTGGCTTGGTCTCCAGTCCTTTTGTTTACACTTTCTACATGGCTAGGACAACAAGAAAGACTCACCATACCCAACCTTTTTATTTGTTGAGGTGGGATATTGTTTTTTTACCCATGCTGGTCTCAAACTAAGCCTCCTGATCTCTGCCTCCATAGCAGCCAGGAATACAAGTATGAGCCACGGTGCCCTGCCTTTTGTTCATTTTCTGAGCCAGGGCCTCACTATGTAGCCCAAGTTGTCTTGAAATCCTCATCCTCTTGCCTCAACTTCCCAAGTGCTGGAATTACAGGCATGAGATACCACACTCTAGTGTTTCTGTCTCCCAGCAAAAAGCCACAAGGCAAGGAGAGAAACGAACAAGGAGGAACCCTGGGAAAAGCTGACCAATCTGACTGAATTGCAAGAAATACTTGAGCAAGACAAGTGAAAACAAAAGTGATCACACGCATGTGAAGATAACACAGTGACCATCCAGAGGCAGCATTCCACATGCACACACGTACCTAGGGTCAGCCTGGAAATTGACAGAGCTCAGAGAGGGCTGCTGTCCAGACTGGAGAAACAGCAGAGTGACATAAAACATGGTACAGGTAATGCAAGCAACTTGTGAAAAAATTCCCAACTACTACCATTAGGAACCAGCAGGTGATAGGATCATACCAACACACTACACTGGCTGACTTTCAGGTAGAGAGCCGTCATTCCAGTGGTCCATCAGAAGACTGGAAGAATCTAATTGTACTACATCATGACACCTGCAGGGAAGACACATGATCAATAAGGCCCCATGTGATGGAAAACTAGCAGCAATTGCAAGGAAGGCTCAGGTGAGGGGAAACCAAGGTACAGATTATAAATTGTGACGATGGAAACCCTGCATCTCAGCAAAGCCTTCCCCTCTGTAGTGCAGGGCTGGGGCCTGATAAGGACATTTTGATATTTATGACATCATTCTTGGGCCACACAAATGATCAGTATAGGCACACCTGTCATGTGTCAGAGGTTTTGGGGCCCTCCTATGCCTGAAGGCTGGACACTCCCCACCCCCAGAACAGAGCAGACATGTAAGCCAGGAGGTCTGAGGAAAAGCTGGTTTTTGCGGTGAGGGAAATAACTGTGTTTTGTTTTGGTTTTTTTGGGTCCAGTTGTGGGGCCTGAACTCTGGGCCTGGGCGCTGTCCCTCAGCTCTCAGCTCAAGGCTAGCACTCTACCACTTGAGCCACAGCACCACTTCCAGCTTTTTTTTTTTTTTTTTGAGTCCGGTCGTGGGGCCTGAACTCTGGGTCTGGGCGCTGTCCCTCAGCTCTTCAGCTCAAGGCTAGTGCTCTACCACTTGAGCCACAGCGCCACTTCTGGTTTTTTTCTTTTTTGCTTATGTGGTGCTGAGGAATCGAACCCAGGGCCTCATGCATACAAGGCAAGCGCTCTACCACTGAGCCACCTTCCCAGCCCCAATAACTGTGTTCTTTAGACCACTTCAGTTGGCTAGTTTATACCCAGCTCCTAGGCTCAATTCAATGGCACTGAGTTCTGCCCTTGGGGAGCCTTTGTTAAGGTCTTGTATGGGATGTGGTCTAAACATCACAGCGGTACTCAAGCAGATGTAGCCCTGGGCAAAAAGACAAGACACTCCACCAACACCAGAATTTTAAAAACTTTAACAATTTATTAGTCTTATTTCCCAGTAAAATATTCACATAATGTCAAAGGAATGAATGATAGAGCTGACTACCTTTAATTCCACATAAATATTGAAAATCTAAAAACCTCAGGGGATCACCAGACCAAGTAGAAATTGATTCTTCAAACCAAGTATTGCTTTACTACATCATGAATGCAGTCAATAATAGGACCAGTAACTGGCAGCAGTAAACAGGTCTGTCATCTGAGCAGGCGCAGTCCATCAATCCAGGAAGAAGATGTTATTGAACTGTGTGGCACAGAGCTTCTTCACTTCCTCTGCAGAGAGAGTACAAAAGGTGCATTAGTAACGCCAGGTGTGAGCAACGCCAGGTATGTGGCGCCCACTATAAACAGGTGGGAAGAAGCAAGTGCTGGCATTCCTTCTGACCCCAAGTTCCACAAGTCTAAGCAAGAAATGGGAAACAATTGAGAGTATGGGGGGAGAAACACACCTGAAGAACTCATGAGACTGCCATGCTCCCCAACACACAGAAACACTGCTGCTATGGATCTGAGAACCCCCAGTCAGCAATTGGAGTGCAGCAATCTTAGAGAATTCTAATCGAGACATGGTTCGTCTGGACAAAGCTAATGAGACAGCGCGAAGGCCCTGGATGCAACCTTGAGTTGTAGATCAAGTGTTCCACAGAAGCATCAAGACCTGGATTTTAGAGATTTCCACCTAAAATCAGGCATATATGGGGAAGGGTATGGTGGCTCATGCATGTAATCACAGCTACTCAGGAGGCAGAAGTAGGAGAATCTTGGTTTGAAGCTGGTCAGGGCAATAACATAAGACCCTAATTGAAAAACTAAAGACAAAAGAAAAAAAAGTTGGTGGAGGTGGCTCAAGTAGCAAAGCACTTGCCTAGCCACATGTGAATCCCTGAGTTCAAGCCCCAGTACCACCAAAACCAATTGCTATACAGGCATGCGCTATGTTTTCAAGGTGCACAACTACCAATACAAAAATTAAGAGTAAAAAGATTTAGTATGCCCTAGGAGATAAAAAAGCAAGTAAACCTTCACTGCTAACTTCCCTTTCAGTCTGCACATGGGCTGTGTCTCCCTGTGCTGCTGCTTGGCTTCAGTAATGATGCTCAACCCAGGCACAGGCATTGCCCTTTCTTTAGGGTAATAGTCACCAGGACCCATCGCAGAGGGCTGGCTGTCCTTTGAGGATATAGAAAAGGTTTTGTTGTTTTTTGCTCAGGGCCTGGGTGCTGTCTCTGTACTTCTCTTGCTCAAGGCTCTACCATTTGAGCCACAGCACCACTTCGACTTTTGGTAATTTATTGGAGATAAGAAACTTGGGCATGGACTTTCCTGTCCAGGCTGGCTTTGAACCATGATCCTCAGAGCTCAGCCTCCTATAATAACTAGGATTAGAGGCATGAGCCCAACTAGAAAAGGAGATGTTTTTCTTTTATTATTTTATTTTATTTTTTGTCAGTCATGGAGCTTGAACTCTGGGCCTGGGTGCTGTCCCTGAGCTCTTCAGCTCAAGGCAAGTGCTCTACCACTCGAGCCACAGTGTCACTTCCCACAATATTATTTCTGGTTTTCTGGTGGTTAACTGGAAAAAACAGTTTTCTGGACTTTCCTTGCCCAGGTTAACTTTGTTGAACCATAATCATCAGATCTCAACCTCCTGAGTCACTAGGATTACAGGCATGAGCCATGGGTGTCCAGTAAAAAGGAGATTTTTTGTTGTTGTTCTTTGCCAATCCTGGGGCTTGGAACTCAGGGCCTAGGCACTGTCCCTGAGTCTCTGTGCTCTGAGCCACAGTGCCACTTCTGGCTTTTTTTGTTTATGTGGTACTGAGGAATCGAACCCACGTCTTCATGCATGCTAGGCAAGCACTCTACCTCTAAGCCACATTCTCAGCCCAAAAAGGAGACTTTTATACATAGCTTAAAAAGCAAAACCATGGTGTTTTTTGTTTTGTTTTTGCATTGTACAAGGCAAGCACTCTACCACTGAGGCACCTTCCCAGCCTTTTTTGCATTGAAGAAAACAATTTTCTCTTTTTGTTTGAGGGTGGGTCTGGCCCCAAACTTGGGCCCTCCTGCCCCATGTCCTGCCTGCATGCACACAGGTGTGCACCCTTCGGAAGCTAAGCTGACAAGTTCCTTTGCTAGAGGACAGGAACACATACAACAGAGCTCTGCTTAAACCTCACAAGGCACCATCTGTCCCAGTCCATCCACCATGTTTACCACACCCAAGAGCATTTGGAAGTAGTGGCAGCATTGAGATTCTGCTGAAATCCACCAAATCCTAGTTACCATTGACTTCGATCAGGTTTGCATTCTTCTGATTCAAAATCACATAGAGCTCCCGCTGATCTGACTTCTTCCCCACAACCCAGTAGTCACTCATGGCTTTCACGATGATTTCTTCATCTTCATCCGCTCTGCAAAATAAGTTTCAGAATGTGGCAGATGTCTTGCACATATGTGCACTGTGGGAGGAAGGACGCACCCAGACAAAAAGTGGACACTGGCCTACTGCTGAGACTGGGAAATGCAGCCAGGAAGGGGTCAAGCTGAGCCCCTGTGAAGTGGCAGTTACCTAGGGGTTGTGTGTGTACTAGCAGAGGGGCTTGAACTTAGGGCCTTGTGCTCTTGTTTTATTATTATTATTTTTGTTGTTGTTCCAGGCTCACACTCTACCACTTGTGCTGTAGCTCTCCTACCAGCTTTTTGCTGGTTAATTGGAGATAAGAATCTACCAGATTTGTCTGTTTGGGCTGGCTTTGAACCTTGATCTTCAGACCTCAGTCTCCTGAGGAGCTAGGATTACATGGGTGAGCCACCAGCACCCAGCTTGGGTCACTTAAGTTTGAGACAATTCCTTTAATATCTCTTCCAAGAAGGAGCTAGCGTTACCTAGTGAAATCACTGTTGATGTCACCCAGAATCTTCATTAAGTCAGGATGAACGGACGTCAGAGACACGCTGGGTGTTTTCCTCATGTGAATTGTGCTCTTCTCTGCTAAATTCATGTGGTTGAAATAGATGAACTTAAACTGGGGCTCCTTTTCAGACCTGTCAAAACATGTCATTAAGATGGCAGCATTTGGGGCTGGGAATGTAGTTTAGTGGTGGAGTGCTTGCCTAGCATGCATGAAGCCCTGGGTTCCATTTCTCAGTACCACATACACAGAAAAAGCTGGAAGTAGCATGGTGGCTTGAGTGATAGAGTGCTAGCCTTGAGCAAAAAAAGCTCAGGGACAGTGCCCAGGCCTTGAATTCCAGACCCAGGACTGGTATAAAAAAAAAGAAAAGAAAAAAAAAAAAAGAAAAAGGGCAGAGAAGGTGGATCAGTGGTAGAGCGCTTGCCTTGCATGACGCCCTGGGTTTGATTCCTCAGCACCACATAAGCAAAAAGAAAAAAGCCGGAAGTGGCGCTGTGCCTCAAGTGGTAGAGCGCTAGCCTTGAGCTGAAGAGCTGAGGGACAGCACCCAGACCCAGAGTTCAGGCCCCAGGACCGGACCCAAAAACAAAAAACAAAAAAAAGAAAAAGAAGAAAAGATGGGAGCATTCAGCTTCCTGTTTTGGACCAGGGTCTGGGTAAAGGGGCAGTTGGCATCATATCTAGCCGCGAAGGTGGGAAGAAGCCTCTGCAACCCAAGAAGAAGGGTGAGAAAGACACAGAAAGAGGGGCAGAAGAAACTTGAGGAATTTGAAAGTGAAGGCTGCAGGGAAGGGACCCCTGGCCACAGGTGGAATTAAATCTGGCATGGTCGGGCACCAGTGGCTCATGCCTGTAATCCTAGCTACTCAGGAGGCTGAGATCTGATGATTGCAGTTCAAAGCCAGCCAAGGCAGGAAAGTCCCCATGAGACTCTTAACTCCAATTAACCACCAGAAAACTGGAAATGGAGCTGTGGTTCAAGTGGTAGAGCGCTAGCCTTGAGCTAAAGAGCCCACAGACAGCACCCAAGCCCAGAGTTCAAGCCCCATGACTGACCAAAAAAAAAAAAAGCTGTTCATTGTCCCTGAGATGATGGTGACTCCTTATTCCATTCCCATTAAACATCTAGATTGCCTGCATCACATCTCTACTATATAAATGAAGGTTTGTGTAGGATTCGATAAACATTAAGAACAACCTTAAAAAAAAAAATCCTACAGTGGCTCTATCTATAGTTTGTCAGCCACTGTGTCAGCCATTGCTACCTCAGATGTAAATTTAAAGTAAACTCAGATTCCTGCCAGAGTCTGCTCCTCGTTCTACTCTTGCATTCTGTATCATCTTGAAAGTAAACCAACTCATTTAAAGAAAAAAAAAGAAAAGTCGGGTGCTGGTGGCTCACACCTGTAATCCTAGCTACTCAAGAGGCTGAGATCTAAGGATGGAGGTTCAAAGCCAGCCTGGACAGGAAAGTCTGTGAGACTCTTATCTCCAATAAACCACTAGAAAACCGGAAGTGGTGCTGTGGCTCAAGCAGTAGA